CTCTTCTCTTCTCTTCTCTTCTCTTCTCTTCTCTTCTCTTCTCTTCTCTTCTCTTCTCTTCTCTTCTCTTCTCTTCTCTTCTCTTCTCTTCTTCTGGGGGTATTTCAAGACAGGTTTCTCTGTGTGGCCTTGGCTGTCCTGGAATTGCTTTGTAGACCAGACTGGCCTCGAACTCACAGCAAACTGCCTGACTCTGCCTCCCTGAGTGCTAGGATCACAGGTGTGCGCCACCACGCCTGACTTGAAACTGCTGATTCTTAATGGAATAAAATTTATGTGCAGATAGACCTTTGAAAAAATGAGATTTAAATGAGTTTTTTGAGATGATCACTTTTAATAATTAGAGCCCCAGGAAACTGCAAAGTCATTGTCAGGTGTGGGGAGTGCTGCATCCTCCTCTGTTCCCCACTGGGGTTCCCGATGCCTATTCCTGTGATAATGCTTGAGGAGACCGAGGAAGCAGTGCTTACTTAGTGGTTCCCACCTTATTTGCTCACAGCATAGCTATTGCTCTCCTGAGGAGGAACTCCAAGTTCTGAAATATTGTTTTAAGTTGCCAGTTGTTTACAGTTCACTGAAATTCTCCTTGTAATGGATAGTTCTTGCCTCAGTGGGTCCTCTCCTGCTTTCTAATAGGAAGGAAATTCACAGCTGAAGTAAATACTATATTGAGAAGATGCCTCAGAAGCTGCAGAACAAGGAAAGGAATAGAGCCGAGGCACAGAGAAGTCTTCATTTATTAATGGAATCTTAAGACCCCTGTAGGCCCCTATGCTCATAAACCACACTCTTGAATAGTTTCTGCCCTGTGATATGTTCCTCAGCTCTTCCTTACAGATAGTGTTTGATGAATGTCACAAAGCAAAAAACTTATGTCCTGTTGGATCTTCAAAGCCAACCAAGACAGGCTTGGCTGTTTTAGAGCTTCAGAACAAATTGCCAAAAGCCAGAGTTGTATATGCCAGTGCCACTGGTGAGTATACACTTAATCAGAATAATATGTGCACATTACTTTTGCAGCTATAATATCTTTGGGTGTTTGCCAGGTGCTTCTGAACCACGCAACATGGCCTATATGAACCGTCTTGGAATATGGGGTGAAGGAACGCCATTCAGGGAATTCAGTGATTTTATCCAAGCAGTGGAGCGCAGGTAAGGAGGCTTGTTGCACTCTTCTGCCAAATCTGTTGCTGTGTGGAAGTTTGCTTTGTTTATTGATAGTTACTGTGTTTTAATTTTGTTCAGAGGTGTTGGTGCCATGGAAATAGTTGCTATGGATATGAAGCTTAGAGGAATGTACATTGCACGACAGCTGAGCTTTACTGGAGTGACCTTCAAAATTGAGGAAGTTCTTCTTTCTCAGAGCTATGTTAAAATGTATAACAAAGCAGTCAAGCTGGTAAGAAATGTTTTGTCAGTTCTTTTAATGTGCCTGATAATTTTCTAAATGAGTCTTATCCATTGAAACATTTTCAACATACAAGAATGTATTGGGGCTATAAAACAAGAGGTAATGATCACAGTTGCTTATTTGACCAATGTCCTTATTTTCTGTTTTTATTTTATGTTCATAAATGACAACCATTATTTTAATTCAGACAATTCACAGTTACAGTGTTACCATATCCTAAAATGATGGCTTTAGATAGTGTACATTTTGAGTATGTACATTTATGAGCATCCAGAAAGTTGTCCAGAGACTCCCAAGTGACTGCATATTATTTTGGTTGTAGGAGTCACTTTTAATTTTTGTGAAGAGTCTCATTATGTCATTGTGGCTAGCCTAGAGCTCCCTATACTTTGTAGACCAGGCTGGCCTTGAACTCACAGAGCTCCTCATGCCTCCTGAGTGCTACGATTAAAGGCATGCACCAACATGTCTGGTTGAAAGGGTCATTTAAGTAATGACATTCAGAGATGTATGCAAAATGTTGTCTGTATTTTCAGTGGGTTATCGCTAGAGAGCGATTTCAGCAAGCTGCGGATTTGATTGATGCTGAGCAGAGAATGAAGAAATCAATGTGGGGTCAGTTCTGGTCTGCTCACCAGAGGTTTTTTAAGTACTTATGCATAGCATCTAAAGTGAAAAGGGTGGTGCAGCTGGCCCGAGAAGAGATCAAGAATGGGAAGGTAAGTTGAAGACTATCGTCTGTTCTCTGCTGGTTAGTTGTTGTAGAATGAAGTCTTCTATTTGAAATACTGTTTTGTTTTGTTTTTTGAGACAGGGGTTCTCTGTGTAGTTCTTCTAGAACTCATTCTGTAGACCAGACTGGCCTCAAGCTCAGTTCCACCTGCCTCTGCCTTCTGTGTGCTGGGATTAAAGGTGTGCACCACCACCTGCTTAGAATAGTCTTTGTTTGGTTGTTTTTTTTTTTTTTTTTTTTTTTTTTTGAGACAGTCTCAACATTGCTCTGGCTGTCCTGGAACTTTCTCTGTAGACCAGCTGGACTCAAACTCGCAGATATCTGGAGCTGGGATTAAAGGCATGCACCTCTATGCCTAGCTCTGAAATAATCTTTTAAGTGGATACTATTACAGTAAAGTTTTATTTTAATAAAATTTTAGTTTTAGTTTGGGTTTGAGATAGTTCTGTAACACAGGCTAGTATGATTTGATGGGTTGTCTAAGCTGAACTCACCATAGTAATCATCCTGCCTCATCTACCCAACTCCTAGGATTGCAGGTGTGAGAGTTTGAAATATTCATAAAAATCAGTTCTTTCATTCCCAGCTCTCTGGAGGCAGAGGCAGGTGGATTGTAGTGAGGATTTGAGATGTCCATTAAAATCAGTTCTTTATTAACAGCTCTTGGGAAGGCAAAGGCAGGTGGATCTTGTGAGTTCGAAGACAGCTTGCCCTACAGAGTAAGTTCCAGGTCAGCCAGGTCTGTCTTGAAAAAACAAATAAATGAAAAAAGCAACCAAAAACTTAAAAGTGCCAGGTAATTTGTGTATGTGTATAGTCCCAGCACAGAAGAGATAGAAAGTAGAAGATCTCAAACTCAAGGCCAGCTGTAGCTATATCATAGTTTGAATTGGGTTTCATGAGACTTTGTTTGAAGACAAAGTATGTGTACACACACTTGCACATACGTTTGTGTGTGTATATAAATATACAAAGAATGCTTGTTCAGAAACATCAGCATAGTATAACATAAAAATGCAGTGTAGTTTGTCCAACAGTGCTCTTTTCCTTCATAACTATAAATGTGGTTAATTACCCTAAGTGTGATTGCCTTGGTTGTTTATATATCTGCTTAAAACAAAGGGTTGCTAGTGGTGATGCATACCTTTTAACCCAGAGTTTGGGAGGCAGAGTCAGGGAGAGCTTGAGTTCAAGGACAGCCAGTGCCATAGAGATAGATAAAAACACACACACACACACACACACACCACAAACCACAAAGCATTATAAATTTCATGAGGTCAGAGACATTTGTCATGTTCTCTATTATACATTTCCTCTAACTTTCTTTTTGGGAATGGGAGTAAGACAGGGTCCCTACATAGCCCTGCTGTTCTGAAGCGTACTCTGCAGAATAGGCAGGTCTTGAATGTACAGACATCTGCTTGCTTCTGCCTCCTGATTGCTGGCATTAAAGACAGGTGCTGGGGATTAAATTCCTGACTTTCTCCACTTCTTGACATATCATACCTCATATAGAATAAATGAAGCCCAAACTAATATAATGGGTTATTTAAAAAATTTATTTTTTACTAGATATTTAACATGTTCTTTGGTATAGAACCATAACATGTGACTTATAATTATGTATTTTGTGTTTTTCAGTGTGTTGTAATTGGTCTACAGTCTACAGGAGAAGCTAGAACTTTAGAGGCCTTGGAAGAGGGTGGAGGAGAACTAAATGATTTTGTTTCAACTGCCAAGTAATTTTTTAAAAATCTTCTTCTTGAATGTTAAAATAATGAACCGTTAATATTCCCCCCTCCTTTTTTTTGGTTTATCTCTATCATCTTTAAAAGTTCTTATCTGAATTTTTACAGTTTTCTGCTTTCCTTCATTATACTAAATTATGTGGAAAATGATAGGTAGATCACTTGTAATTCTGAAATGTTGTGCATTTTGGCAACTTTACATAGAGTATTTGGATTAACAGAACTGGCTTTTGTTTTGTACATCTTGAAGCTTGTTTAACTTCAGATTTAGTGCTGTGTGAAATGACCATAGTTTTTTAAGTGGCACATTGTTTGTTATAATGTAATAAATTGTGCTCTAAGCATTTGGTACTGGGGAATGGAAAGATGGCTCAGTGCTTAAATCTATACTGCTCTCCTAGAGGATCTGTCTTCAGTTCCCAATACCTATTTATAACTCTTAGCTCCAGGGACTCTATACCCTCTTCCTATCTCTGAGGGCACCTGCACTACCTGTACATCATATCCATAAGCAGAGGCACATAAAGTGGACATTAAAATTGCAAATCCCAAAAGCTGTTAATTGAATACCAGACTTAGTGCCACCTGCCTTTGTTTCTAGCACTGGGGAATGAGAGGCACACAGGTCTCCTAGAGTCCAAGGCCATCCTGGCCTCCATAGTGATCCCTGTTAATTCAGGGGGCTGGAGAGATGGCTTAGAGTTTAAGAGCACTCACTGCCCTATTCTTGGAGTGGACCTGCCACCCACATGGCTCCTTTCAACCACCTGTAACTCCAATTACAGGGTATCTGACACCCTCTTCTGGCTTGGAGGCCGGTGAGCACGCGTGTGGTTCACAGACACACATGAAGGCAAATAACCATACACATAAAAATAAATAAATAAATAAACAATTAAAAAAATTTTTTTTAGAAAATGCTAAGTCAGCATGATAGCTTTGAGGCTGTCCTTCTAATCCACTTTGGGGGACACAGTGGTCTGAGGACTCCTGTCACTGAAAATGGCTTATGAAGTATGTTTCTGTTTTGAATTATTAAGAAACTTGCCACTTATGCCAGACAGGGTGCCACATGCCTGTAATCCTAGCACTCTGGGAGGCAGAGATAGGTGGATCTCTGAGTTTGAGGCCAGCCTGGTTTACAAAGTGAGTCCAAGGCTACACAGAGAAACTCTGTCTCGGGGAAAAAAAGAAGAAACTTTCCACTCTTCACATATGAAGCTACTGAGCAATTAAAGTGACTGTATAGTAGGTACATTTATGTTGTTAGTGTGAAACTCTTCAAGTTTCAAAGACAGTTTATAAAAATTTAGCACATCTTACTGATTACACACTGAAGCCTCCTTTTGAGGTGAGTAAGCATATTACTGAAATTAGTTTCAGTAACCTCTTTCTTGAGTTCCTTTTCTGTAACGGTCTTGCTATATATTCCAGGCCAGTCTTGAACTGTGGGCTAAAGCCATCTCCTGCCTAAGCCTCCCTCCGTAGTTGTGATTATAGTCAAGTACTGTTGTACCTACCTTAAGCCCTTTAGTTTCAATAGCTTTTTGTGTATGGGTACTCTGTGTATGTGTGTGCACCTGTGGCAGTGCATACAAATGAGTGTGCAGTACATGCTCCTGTGTACATCCTTGTAGACAGCATACTGTCTACAAGTAGGAGCAGTAGTAGTGAGTTGAATATCCCACTATTGAGAGAGGGTCTCTGAACTAAAGCCCTGCTATTTCAGCTAGACTGACTGGTTAGTGAGCTCTCAGCATCTGCTGTCTCCACCTCACCCAATGCTTGGATTACAGGCATACAGAGCCATGCTATGCTTTTAATTTGTTTGTTTGCTGGGGATTTGAACTCTGCAAGCTCTTATCCACTGAGCCATTTTCCCAGTTCCTGTCCCATTGTTTAATGTAAGCACTAAAAAGTATAAAAGATGGGTTTGTGTCTTATATAATGCTACTGGACAGGCTTCTCTTAAAATTCATTTGAGCTGAGTTATGAATATTTCTTAAAATTGAATAATTTGTTCTTTCAAATATCTTTAGTAATACTTATGTCAATAATGTAAGTAATGAGAATGTATTTTACTTTAAGTAAAGTCATTTCATAAGACTTTAAGATGTGAAGTAGTAAGGTTCACTGCTTTTTTCCTACAGAGGGGTATTACAGTCACTCATTGAAAAACACTTCCCTGCTCCAGACAGGAAGAAACTCTATAGTTTGTTAGGAATTGATTTGACAGCTCCAAGTAACAACAGTTCACCAAGAGATAGTCCTTGTAAAGAAAATAAAGTGAAGAAGCGGAAAGGTGAGTGCTTTTCTTTAAGTAGTTGATACTTAAAGTGCTGTTGGGCTGAGTTTTAATGTAGCTGTGATTGTGCTCCTCTTCCCCTTCTCCCTCCCTCCTTCCTTTCTTTCTTCTTCACCTTTTGCTCAGTGCTCTGAGTGAATGCACAAGTGCTCCCAACTTGCGTTAACTGGTTACTCTGTCTAGCACTTAGGAAATCGGAACCTTTCAGCCTTGTGGGAAGGTTAGGGTTGTTGTCCTAGGCTCACTTAGTCCTTGTGCTGTTTAGTGAACATGGACTTGGCTGCTCAGTGCACCATCCTCCCACCCTGTTTTTCATAGTACTGGATAGTGTTTCCCTGGGGTTATAGACTTCATGTTTGCCTTGCTAGTTAGGCTTAAAAGGCCTTGCTTAGTGTAGTTCTTAATTGTTAGGAAGTGTATTCACTCATTTTTGTTAATCAGCTTGTGATATTGTAAACTAAAATTTGCGATTGGGTGTTTTCTGTGCTGTTTGACTTTCAGAAGTTTTAGATTCTGATACAAAGGTTTTGATGCTCCCGTCCCTTCAGGGTGCTGGCCTCTTGCCTTAGCGTACCCAATACACCTACAATGCCATAGGCTCTAAATAGTGACTGACACTGTGTAATTTCAGACGTGACAAGATGCACATTCTTTATGTTTTCTAGTATGTTTGCTTTTGGCTTCACATGTGTCACTGTGAATGTGGAGGTTAGAGGACAATGTGGAGGAATTGATTCCCTCTTTTTACCATGTAGGTTTTGGAGTCCAACTTAGCTTTCCAAGCACTCTGTTTGTGGAACCATTTCAGTGGTTCTCATATTTGTAATGTGCCTGAAGCGAGTGGGCTACTACCACTGTAACAACTTGCGTGTTTTAATTGAGTTGCACATGAAGTAATGGTTTTCTGTGATCAGTAGTGTCTTAGAGTAGCTGACATGCTGCTGGATCATAAGAAGTTAGGTTTTCTCTGTTATGTTCTATTAATAAGAGAGCCTCTTAGAGTTTTGATTTTAGTTTCTGAGTATTCCCAGTCTGTTTTTTTAAATAGTACATAATTCAAACCACCAACTTATTCACCTTTAAAAATGGGATTTTTATGGGCTGGAGAGATGGCTTAGCAGTTAAGAGCACTGGCTGTTCTTCCAGAGGACCTGAGTTCAATTCCCAGCACCACATGGTGGCTTCTCAACCATCTGTAATGGAATCTGATACCCTCTTTTGCTGTGCATGAAAACAGTGCTCACACACATAAAAATAAATAAATAAATAAATAAATAAATGAATGAATAAATAAATAAATATTACAATGAGATTTTATGTATTAGTATATCTTGTCTGTATCTCTCTCCAACCCCCCCTCTTTTTTTTTTTTTTTCCTTCAAGACAAGATCTCATTATGTAATCCTAATGTGTCTAAAACACTATTTGTAGACAAGGCTGACTTTGAACTGAGACCTGCCTTTGTCTGCCTCCCAAGTGCTAGGATTAGAGACTTGTGCCACCATACCTGGCTTACATGTTAATTTTTCTAGGTATTTCATGTCTTGTTCTAGTTCCTCTTGTTCTTCTCAAAACTACTTACCAGGTAATTGTGTGACTTAGATTCTGTTTGCAAATTTTATGCATGCATATAATATGGTTTGATCCAGCTCCTCATTTTCTATCAGTTTTGAGTTTGTAGTTTCTAGTTTCTTGTTGAGTAGCTGACCATAATTGAATTCCTGGTTCTTGTGTACTTGCTTTGTTTTTCACATAAATATTCTTGCTCTCTGCACTTCTCACTAGACTTAACTCACAAACTAAAACAGGATACCATAGTTCTTCGGTAACACTGAATTTAGGCTGGGCAGTGGTGGCACACCTTTAATCCCAGCAGTGGAGAGGCCTATAGTGTCTACAGGCTAATCTCTGTGTTCGAGCCTAGCCTGGTCTATAGACTGAATTCTAGGATAGCCAGGGCTACACAGTGTAATCTTGTTTCAAAAAAGGCATTGATTTTCTAGCTAACTCTTGTTTGGGTCTTGAGGGTAGGTGAAGAAATAACACGAGAAGCCAAAAAAGCACGAAAAGTTGGTGGCCTTACTGGAAGCAGCTCTGATGACAGTGGAAGTGAGTCTGATATCTCTGACAATGAAGAAAGCGACTATGAGAGCTCTAAAAACATGAGCTCTGGTGATGATGACGATTTCAATCCCTTCCGAGATGAGTCCAGTGAAGACAACGAAGACGGTGAGTCGCAGGAGCGTTGCATGTAAGCAGAAGGGTACTTAGCTGCTGGGGCTGGGAAATAGAGACAGGAGGAAGTCTGTGAGTTTTAGGCCAGCCAGGGTTACACAGTGAGACCATGTTTCAAAAACAAGAAGTAAAACCTTTTCTTGGTGCTGGAGGGATGGCTCAGTGGGTAAGAATTCGTACTGTTCTTGCAGCGAGCCTGAGTTCACATTCTAGCATCTAAGCCTGAGAACTTGTAACTCCCTGAACTCCAGCTCCAGGGGCATTTGACCTCCGTAGACAACTGTGTTTTTGTGCACAAACCTATATACACAGACTGATGAAATAAGTCTTTCGAAAGTAAATATACTGTTATTTGTTTGTTTGTTTGTTTATTTATTTATTTATTTATTTATTTATTTATTTATTTATTTATATTTAGTATTTGTGACTGGGCAGATTCAGATCTTTACTGAGTGTAGAACAAGTCTTGAAGAGGTTTGAACCTAAGAGATGAGCTCAACTGGATGCAGTGATGTACACCAGGAAGGAAGAGGAAGAAGGGTCTCTGAGTTTGAGGCCAGCCTGTTTTACAAAGCCTGTCCAGGACAGCCAAGGCTACACAGAGAACCCTGTCTTGAGAAAAAAAAAAAAAAAAAAAAAGCTCAGCTTTGTGCTTTTTCCCAGTTTTTTTTTGTTGGGGTAGAAGAAGGACTTACTATGTAGCCCTGGATGATGTAGAGCTGAGTATTGATGGGGATTTTCTGTGAGTCCCATCCTTGTGCCCCACTATTCCTGAGTTCTAGCATGGTGGGTTGTAAGCGCAGGCCCACCATGCCTAGTTTGTGTGGTTATATTTAATTTAACAGTATAGAATGGTAGTTCCCTGTGTGTGAATGAATGAACTGGGCACTGCTGGTTGGCAATACTTTTACAAGTAGTCAGTAAAACCAAATTTACCTCCTTTAAAGAGTGTGTATTAGCTGGGTGTTGTGCCGCATGCCTGTAATCCCAGTACTTAGGGAGGCAGAGGCAGTCATGTTTCTGTGAGTCCGAAGCCAGTCTGGTCTACAGAGTGAGTTCCAGGACAGCCAAGGTTACACAGAGAAACCCTGTCTTGAACAAAGAAACAAACAAAAAAGTGTGTATTATTTGATGCATATTTGCCTTATGTTTTAGATCCTTGGTTAATTAGGAAAGACCACAAGAAAAGCAAAGATAAAAAAAAGAAGAAAAGTATTGATCCAGATTCCATTCAAAGTGCCTTGTTAGCATCAGGTCTTGGGTCGAAGCGGCCTAGTTTCTCCTCTGCACCAGTTATCTCTCCTGCTCCCAACAGTGCACCAGGTACCATAAAGACACTTCTGTTTTGGATGTGTGATTTATGTAAATCAGGTATTGAAATATGACTGATTGACAGATATTCTTTATTAGCCAACAGTAACACCAACAGTAATAATAGCCTTATAACCAGTCAAGATGCTGTTGAAAGGGCACAACAGATGAAGAAGGACCTGCTTGATAAACTAGAAAAATTAGCTGAAGACCTCCCTCCTAACACCCTGGATGAACTTATTGATGAGCTTGGTGGGCCCGAAAATGTAGCAGAGGTATGCTGTGCTCCTTTTTGATAACATTTTATTTCCTTTTTAAATCCTGTGACATGAATATCCTGTTTTTCTGTACAACTTAGATGCCTTGTACTGCTCCCATTCTTTTGATATGACTACAAAAGTTCTGTCCTCAATGTCTGATTGCTTGCCCCGTGCCTGGTTCCTCTCTTGTTGTGCAGCTTCTGTGACTGTGGCCATGTACCAGTTTTTCTCATGTTGCAAATGTGTGTTTTTGATCCCAGTGCCAGCTTGTATCTCTCATGTTTCATGCTCCTAGCCAGTTTCCTTAAAATTGTGTTGCTGTTTATTTCTCAGATGACTGGCCGCAAGGGTCGAGTGGTGAGCAATGATGATGGAAGCATATCTTACGAGTCAAGGTCTGAGCTTGATGTGCCTGTGGAAATTCTAAACATCACAGAGAAGCAGAGGTTTATGGATGGAGATAAGGTATTTTTTCCTGAGATGCTTTTTGGTAGAAGGCAACTGCCTATATATTCCGCTTCTGCTGTAGAAGGATCTGCTTTCCATTTCTCTACACCCACAGAATTTGTTATATGCCTGTTCTATTTTTTATTAGTAATTGTACTGATTATTTTACATACTTTAGTTATTTTAGGTTGACTGTAGTACAGATTCTGTATGGTATACTAGAGCATTGTTCTTGTTATTTATGAGAACATTGAACGCACAAGCCAGATGAGGTGGTGCACCTTGGATATGTAGGCAGGAGGATTGGGCTCTCATTCTTCTTGACTACATTCAGTTGTATGAGGCCTTGTCTGAATAATTAGATAAAGAGTCATAGGGATACCTATTCAGATACCTTAATCTGAATATAAACATAGTGACTCATTGTAGTGATTTCTGTCATCTTTTCCCTCTCTTCTTCCCTTTACTCTTTCTTGGTATTAGTTACTTTTACATAGCTGCCATTAGATATCCAACAGAACACTTAGGACTGAAGATTATCTTGGCTCATGATGTCATACTTTTAGCCTGTTGTGAAAGGAAGGATATGAGGAACAGCTCTGTTCATGTTGTGACAATGAGTGGAAACAGAAAATGGGAGCACAAGAAAGGTTTGAGGCAAAACAGAGCTCAAAGGATTTGTCCCCAGTGATGTCTTTGCTTCAACTAGACCCCACTTCCTACCCTTCCTTACCTTTAAAATGCCATTATATTGTAACTCTAGCAAGAGAATAATCTGTTGGCTAGTGTAAAGTCTTCAAGATTTCATTAGCTTTGAGATAGTTTCACTAGTCATGTATCAGCTGATAGTGAAAATGAGCTGTTAGCATAATGTCATGACATCTGGTGCCATTGAATTTTGAACAATATTAAAGAATGTTGCTGGGGATGGGGCCCTGGAGAGATGGCTCACCGGTTAGGAGCACTGCCTGTTCTTCCAAAGGTTCTGAGTTTAATTCCCAACAACCACATGTTGGCTCACAACCATCTATAATTAGATCTGGTGCCCTCTTTTGGCATACAGGTATACATGCAGGCAGAACACTGCAAACATGAGGGGGCGTGAATAAATAAATAAAATCTTAAAAACAAAACAAAAACCATCGCTGGATATTAATTGCACACACTTTTAATCCCAGAGCCCAAGAACTGAAATCGGCAGGTCTCTGTGAGTTGGAGGCCAGCTTGATCTACAGAGTGAGTTCCAGAACAGCCAGGACCATATAGAGAAACTCTGTCTCAACAAAACAAAAGAAAGAAATGCTTAGAAGGAGATTGTGCTGGAGCATAAGGAGTTCAAGGCCAGGTGCAGCTCTCTAGTGAGACCCTTGATAAAAATAAAACTACAAGATCCCTAAGTGTTCAGATAAATGGTGTCCTTTGGGTTTTTGGCTTGGTTTCGTGCCTTTGCATGTCAACCATGTATGGTTTATGGACTCTGCATTCATATCTTATACTGAAGACATTTTGAACACCTAGGACCTTTAGATTCTTTTTATTTTGTATCTTTTCTCTTGTAGGATTTCTAAGCACCTTCTCTGTTACTGTGCTTTTCTCTAAACACTGGAGCCTCCTGCATGAGTTTTCTCAAACCTTAGGAGTCTTAGATCCATTCTTACCCATCTGCTTCTGCATTTTGCTTATGACAGTTTTGAAAGAAATAGAATTTTTTTTTTTTAACGACTTGTGTTGCCAGGGAATGATGGTGTACACTTTTAATCCCAGCACTGAGGAGGCAGGGGCAGGCGATCCCTGTGAGTTCCAGGCCAGACTGTTCTATAAAGCAAACCCAGGACACCAAGGCTGCACAGAGAAACCCTGTCTCGAAGAACAAAACAAAAAAAGATTTATACCATCACACACGCTTTTGTGTATGAGTGTTTTGCCTTAGTATGAATACATACACCAAGTGTGTTCTGGGTGCTTTGGGAGACCAGAAGTCAACGTCAGAGCTTCTGGAATTGTAGTTAGAGTTTAATGTGATTATCTCATGAATCTATTTCATGCAGGAAAGCGATTTTTCAAAATCAGTGGATTGTTAAATCATATTTTTCAGAAATTATTACTTTTTTTTTTTTTAATTGTGTGGATGTATGTCTGTGGGCAGGCATGCCATGCCATTTGTGTAAAGGTCAAAGGATAACTGGGAGTCAGTTCTCTCCCTTTGTTATATTGCATCCTGGAATTGAACTCAGGTTATTATACTCTGCAGAAGTTGCTTTTATCTACTTAACGGTTTAAACCAGATAGATACTACTTCTTTGATGTATGTGTTTTTGTGTTGGCTAAGAGTGTGATAGCACATGCCTGTAATTTTGGAGCCCTTGAGGCTGAGGCAGGTGGATCCTGAGTTTTAGGCTAGCTTTGCTTACATAGACTGTGTCTCAAAAGATTTTTTTTTTTTTAAATAGGGTTTCTCTTTGTAGCCCTGACTGTCCTGGACTTTGTAGACCAGGTTAGCCTTGAACTCACAATAGAGACCCACATGCCTCTGCCTCCCCAAGTGCTGTAGGATTACAGGTATGGGCCACTCTGCGCAGCTTCAAAAGATTGTTTAAAAGGAGAAAAAGAAGTTCATGCCTTTTCTAACCTTCTCTCCGTCTCCTCTTTTCCCCTCCTTTTTCCTCAATTTTCCTTCCCTGAGATGGGACCTGATTGTTCTACCTAGACTCTTCTCAAGTGTCCTAGTTTCAAGGCATCCTTCTGCCTCAGCCTCTGGAATAGATGGGACCACTATTCTTGTCTTTTTTCAGTGTGGGTCTTGCTATGCAGCCCAGGATGGCTTTGAACTCGGCTTTCCTCCTGCCTCAGTCTTCTACATACTGGGATTACAGGTGTGCACATCATGTTTGCATGCTAGTTAGGTAAGCATTCCACCTGGGAACTGCATTTTTGCTCCCCTTAAGTTATGATTGGTGGTGGCAATAAGGCCTTCCTTTGCTATGCAAGCATTGGAAGACAAGACACACCGCCGTGTCTTCTTCAAAAACTGTTTCCTGTACATTAATTAGATGTCTACCATCTATGCTTCATTGGCTGCGGCTTGCCTTTATGCTCATTCTTAGTAGTAAGGGACACTGAGGCAGCTAATTTTGACTCTGGGTAACTATGTCTAGCTTACGCAGGGCATCTTTCTACTGTGAAGAGAGAGTAGAGTACATAGAGTATTCACTGGTCCCTGAAGGAAGTTCTCTAGAACACCAGTCCTCTGTGTCATGCTCAGAGGTGATTTTTGTTTCTTTCTTTTTTTCTATTTGATATAGAATATTGCTATTATCTCAGAAGCTGCCAGCTCAGGTATTTCATTACAAGCAGATCGAAGAGCTAAAAATCAAAGGCGAAGAGTTCACATGACTTTGGAGTTACCCTGGAGTGCAGATCGGGCAATTCAGCAATTCGGTAAGTGTCTCCCTTTCATCTCACTGGGGATATACTTGTATCTCTGTATAGAGACACCATAGGCCAGTGGAATTCTTAGTTTCTACATTGCAAGTGTGTTCTCTATACACTGTGCTGTGCAATGGATTATGAATTCCTTTTTGCCTGTTTCAAATGGTGTTGAGGATTACACAGGGGACCTGGCCTCCCAGAACAGGCTTCCTTGGAAGTATCTTCATTGTAGATTTGTACACTGTGTGGATCTGTGAGAACAGGCAACTATTTCCATGGTCATTTCAGCCCTCTAGTAGCTGCATGCAGGGTATAGTACATGATCCAGTGACCTGATGATCCACATGTGACATCCAGAGTGGCAGTGTAGTAACACTGGTTAACCAAACGGTGGCAGCACTTGGACGTTTTTGGTGGGTTCTGTTCCCTGAGTAGTGATGCTAATTATGTTAAACTGTTGTTCTGGAGAGATATGAGAAGGTTTGTGTTATCTTTACTTTCTTTCTTTCTTTTTTTTTTTTTTTTTTTTTTGAGGGTATTTTGTTGTTAGATCAGTACCAGCTTAGCCAGGCTGATGTGCAGGCTTGTCCTCTCAGCACTGATTGGGAGACACAGAAGTACCAGGTATTTAAGGCCTGACTTAGCTGCCTAGTGAATTTGAAGCCACCCTGGACTACATGAGACCTTGTCTCTGTATTTTTTAGTGTGAAAGCTAGGAATTAGATCTCAGAATAGCCCATCTCAACCTAATGAACATAATCAGTGAGCTCTACAAATGCTCATTACAGGAAGAACACACAGATCAAACCAAGTGACTGCTCCAGAGTATGTCTTTTTGATTTCGGAACTGGCTGGAGAACAGAGATTTGCATCTATTGTTGCTAAGAGACTTGAGAGCTTGGTAAGTTTTTGAGTTGTGTTAGAGGTACATCACAGATGATCTGTGTTAGCTGACTTATGGGAAAAATTGATGACCATGAGTTCTCTGTTTTGCCAGGGGGCACTTACACATGGTGACAGAAGAGCAACAGAATCTAGAGATCTGAGCAGATTCAACTTTGACAACAAGGTACATTTCAGCATTTTAACGATGTAGAAATTTGTGGTATGTGCAGTGCCAAAAGGGAAACTGATGACTGCTAAAAACTAAACACTTGCTGTTAGCTTTGCCGTGTATAGCTTCATGTGAGATGGGATTTCACACATCATTAGGTCTGTACACACATCTTTTATTTCAGTTGGAAAACGCTACTAGAGTATTTGGAAAGGCATTAAGAATGAGTTAGGGGGGTTGGGGATTTAGCTCAGTGGTAGAGCGCCTGCCTAGCAAGCACAAGGCCCTGGGTTCGGTCCTCAGCTCTGGGGGGAAAAAAAAAAAAAGAATGAGTTAGAAATAAAAGCAGTCATTAATGTATTGAATGCTATTTGTAAAGGCACAGATTAGATAGTCTTAAAAGTATGTGTATTATTTCTGAATGTTCGATACAGTTATAGTTTTATTTAAGTGGATTAAAAAAATAGCCAAATGTTGAAGCTGGTTAAAATATTTTTTTTTTATTACAGTATGGAAGGAATGCTTTAGAAATTGTTATGAAATCCATTGTAAATTTGGATTCTCCTATGGTGTCACCACCTCCAGACTACCCTGGAGAATTCTTTAAAGGTAACTTTATAATTATAACTGGTACACTGTATGCATTTCATGTTTGAAGGCCTGGTTTCCAACCCCATTATCAGACTAGGCATGGTAGTGTATTCCAGCAATCCCAGAACTTAGCATGGTGAGGCAGAAGAACCTTGTTGACTTTAGGGCCAACCTATGTAGTAAGACCCTGCCTATAAAAAAAAAAAAAGATAAAATTAGCCAGGTGGTGGTGGCTTACACCTTTAATACCAGTACTCAGGAGGCAGAAACAGGTGAATCTCTTTTAAGTACAAGACCCTGTTAACTTATTCTGTATATCTTTGTTAGAGACCATATACACCCTCCTACCCCCGCCTCTTTTTTGTTTCTTTGTTTTCTCACTGCTTATAATTGAAGTTGGTTTTGTGCCTACTATGCCAGTTCTGTCAAGCCACACAGTGATGCTGCATGCCTTAAATTCCAGCACTCGGAGCCAGAGGCAAGTGGATCTCTGGAGCTACACAGCTTCTGCAAGGACTGCTTGAAAAAACCCTGTCCTGGTGGTGGGGAGGGAATTCCATCAAGTTTGTAGGGCGTGTTGGCTGCTTATTCAACACTTACCTTTTTGCTGTACTTTGCAGTAGTTCTAGTTAGTTCTTTACTCTAATCCATGGCCGCCTGCCTTCTCCTCTCCTGCTCCGTCTCTTACCTTTCTCTCTTCTCTCTCCTCCCACGATCCTGTCTTCCAAGCCCTTGAACCTTACCTTTGCCTACCACACTTATGCCCTGCCCACTTGTAGGCATTTATTTAGCAGATCAGGGTACATGAACGTGAGTTTTGTATACATGAGTGCTTGCTCGTAGAACAGTGAGAATCTCAGGCGGCAAGCTTTTAACTGTTGAGGTAGGGTTGTGTGGTCAGTGTTCACAAGCATGTTTGGAGGTCAGAGGCTTACCAGCAAGCATCCTCACCTACTGAGCCATCTTGACAGTTGTGGTTCAGTTTTTGAGAAACAGTGTAACCCAGGTTGGGCTGGAGAGCATGCTAAACTTTTCACTTGAAGCTTTTCTCCTGCCTCAACCCCTCGAGTCCTTGGTGAAGCCATGAAAGATAAAGGGGTTTCAATGGTTCGATCTCCAGTATTAACAAAAACACCATAAAACAGACAAATTAGACACGGTCGGTTTAAGGTTTGGTTATTTAGGGTTTTGGAATGGATAATTATTAGGTACTTCAGTTACCAATTCATTTCAGATGATTGGAATAGAGCAGCATCACATAGGTTAAATCTTCCGTTTTTTTTTGGGGGGGGGTTGTTTCTTTTTTTTGGATAGGGTTTCTCTGGCTGTCCTGGAACTCACAGAGATTTGCCTGCCTCTACCTCTTTGAGTGCTGGGGGTTAAAGGCTTGCGCCACTGTCACCTGGACAGAAGTTAAATCACTTTTTATTTGAAATTGTTTCTTCTTTTTTTTTTTAATTAAAAAAAAAATTTACATTGGTGTTCTGCCTCCATAGGTGTCTCTATCAGGGTTTCAGGTCTTCTGGAACTGGAATTACAAATAGTTGTAAACTGCCATGTGGGATTTGAACCTGGGTCTTTTGGAAGAGTAGCCAGTGCCCTTAACTAACACTCAGTGAGCCATCACTCTTGCCCCCATAGGTTAAATCTTTTTATTTTTTGTTAAATCTTAATGCTAGAACTAATCTTGTTTGATTAACATGTCATTGAGTCATTTGCATTTTCATAATTTTGATTTCTTACAGATGTTCGCCAAGGACTGATAGGAGTGGGCCTGATTAACGTGGAAGATCGCTCGGGAATTCTTACTCTTGACAAAGGTAATGTCACTGTATGTGCTAATGGAGCCTTCTTCATGCTGTTGTGCACTAAAGGAACCTCAACTCAGATGTATGTGTGTGTGCTTGTGAACGCCTGAGCATGACTTTGAGGAAGTCTGCTTTTTTCCTTGCACCTTGCTTTTGAAACAGTCTGTTTCTGTTTCTGTACTCACTCTTGTAAGCCAGTTGGCTCGTGGGTTTGTGGGTGAGTTATCTGTGTCTCCGTCCCTGCCTACTGTAGAATTGCTTGAACTACTGACAGGAGCTACTGCATCTGGCTTTTTAAAAGTGCTTGTTGTGGTGATCGAATTCATCAGGCTAAGATGGCAAGCACTTTGATGAGTTGAATCATTGAACCAGCTCTGTCATTTGTATTTTTGTGACACAGTCACACTCTTGCTTAGATTGGCCGTATTACACTCATGGCAATGCTTTTGCCCTAGCCATCCTAGTACTGGGCTTACAGGTAGATCTAGAATGTAACCCAGAGCCTTCTGTATACTAATAAAATGCTGTTCCGCTGAGTCGTCTGAGCCCTCTTTGGTCTTTTTGTTGCTTGTTTTTCTTTTATTTTTTTGAGACAAGGTCTCTGTGTAGCACTGGCTCTCCTTGAACTTACTTTGTAGGCCAGGATGGCCTGGAAGTCACAGAAATCTACCTGCCTCTAGGCCTTCTGAATGCTGGAACTGAAGATGCCACACCAGTTTGAAGCCCTCTTTGTACTTTGTTGTTTATTTGCTCCTTTATTTTTAGCACGTTTCTGTTCATAGGAATTGTTAAAAAATAAGCATCCAGGTGGCTGGAGATATGGCTCAGAGGTAAAGAGTGGTTCTGCTGGCTGCTCTTCCGGAGGTCCTGAGTTCAATTCCCAGCAACTATGTGGTAGCTCATAACCATTTATAATGAGATATGATGCCTTCTTGTGGCATACAGGCAGAATACCATATACATAATAAATTAATAAATAAATCTTTAAAAAAAATAAACATCCATACAAATGGAACAGGTAAGAGTTGGAAAGGATGGCAGGGCAGGGGGAAAAGAAAAAAGTTCCACATTCATCCTATGCTGGTTCTCATGATCTCCCAGAGAAGTGTACTCAAAACTATGTTCCAAGCAAGGTTGTGGATACCTTTAATCCCAACATCAGGGGAGGCAGAGGCAGGTGGATCTCTGAGTTCAAGGCCAGCCTGGTCTACAGGGTGAATTCCAGGACAGCCAGTACTGTTCCACAGGGAAAAAAAAAAAAAAAGAAAAGAAAAAAGTTATTCCAGCAGGCTCCCATTTGGGCTCCAAGCAGTTTCCTTAGATCCCTAACGGTGTCATTACTTTTGTATTCACATGGACGATATTACCTAGATGGTTATTGGCAGTGACCTTAATTATTGTGGCTAGAGCTTGAATTGCCTTAAAGCTACTGAAATAATCCCTCCTCCCCCCCCCTTTGTTTGTTTCTTTCTTTCGCTCATTTATTTGGTATTTTTATTTATTGAAATAAGGTCTTTCTTGTGTATCTTTGGCTGTTCAGGAACAGCTGGTAGACTCGCTGTTATTGGTTTCTTTGAATGACATCCACCTGCCTTTGATCTTAAGTGCTCCTCTTTATTTTGGAGACAATCTCACTGCATGTGCCAGGTTCACCTTTAACTGTGTGTAGTCTAAGCCATGAACCTGTGGCCTTAGTCTGCTGAGTGACTGGGATAAGCATTGTACCCTTGGACCAGGCCTTTAGTAGATCCCTAAGCTCATACTATAACTAGCCCTGGCTACAGATTTGATCAGCCTGGTCAGGGGTTGTTCTTCTGTTTTGTCTTGTGTTTTTGACCGAGTGTCACAGTGTAGTCTGTGTTAGGATTCAATGTTACCAATGCTGGCCTTGAAATTGCAGCAGCCCTCCTGCCTCATCTTCCCAAGTGTTCAGATTACAGGTATAATCTGAGTTACCTTGTCTGGCTAAGGTTTAAGGAAATGATGAATCTATGGGCTAAACTGGTTGCACAGTAGTTAACGGAACTTGCTATCCTAGTCAAAGACTGGAGTTGGATCCTCAGAACTATAATTTACATTGGCTATTAATATCTGAGTCAGTTCTTCCTGCCATGTGGTTCTTGACTCTAACCCATGGCCGTCTGCTTTCTCTTTCTCTCCTGCTGTTTCTTTCCTTTCTCTCTTCTCTCTCCTCCCACGATCCTGTCTTCCAAGCCCTTGAACCTTACCTTTGCTTACCACACTTATGCCCTGCCCACATGTAGGCATGTATTTAGCAGATCAGGGTACACGAATGTGTGTTTTGTATACATGAGTGCTTGCTCGTAGAACAGTGAGAATCTCAGGGCAAGCAATTGACATCTGAATACAAAGCACCGGCCCCTACCTTAACAACAATCAACTGTAATTCTGTCTTCAAGAGATCTGACAGCCTCTCTGGCCTTTGAGGATGCTTGGGCTCTCGTGCACGTACTCCCAGACAGACAGTACACATAAATTAAAATAAGTTTTTTAAAAGTTATCTGAATGCAAAATCAGACTTCAGACTTGAAACCAAAGCTCCAAGCATTCCAAGTTCCAGGGTTGAGTCATTATTGTAGCAGTAGAATTTGGAGTTAAAAGTCTGGTGTTGGGAAACTGAGTGTGGTGGTATAAACTGTAATCAATCCCAGCATTTGGGGAAATTGAGATGGGGATACAAAGAAACCATGTCTTGAGAAACCTAAATAGGGCTGGAGGGATGGCTTATATCAGTTAAGAGTTCCAGTTAAAACACCCGTACGTGGAAGATAAATATACGTTAAAATAAATTTAAAAGACTTGATATTGGTGAACCAATGTGCTCCTGTGCTAAATTATATTCATGGAAAAGTAGACGGTACAGAAAGTTAGTTTGACTGTCTTGTGAGCTTATCCTGCCTTGCAGGTGGCCGAAGTTTGAAAGAGGTTGGTAACATACTGCGGCCCTGCTATAAGTGCACTGCAGAAGCTGGGGAGAGGTCCAGACCCGAAGTCACACTTTGAAGGTTCACTTAGCTGAAAATAAATTTAACTTACCGTGGGTATTCATGGAATTTTTCTTATCTTGTCATTGCAGACTATAACAATATAGGAAAGTTTTTAAACAGAATTCTGGGCATGGAGGTGCATCAGCAGAATGCATTGTTTCAGTATTTTGCAGACACACTTACTGCAGTTGTTCAGAATGCAAAGAAGAATGGAAGATATGACATGGGAATCCTAGGTGAGTGTGGACACTTGTACTCTCTGTGCTCTTGGTCCAGAGTGTTTCTCCATTTACATATTTCTGTTTGTTTCTGAAGATCTGGGTTCCGGAGATGAAAAGGTGAGGAAGAGTGATGTGAAGAAGTTTCTGACTCCAGGATACTCAACCTCTGGCCATGTAGAGTTATACACAGTAAGTCTGGATTTGTACATACTCTGTACTGGTATCCACACACATGAGCTCCATTTAAATCTCTGCATGTCTTTCACAGATTAGTGTGGAGAGGGGAATGTCCTGGGAGGAAGCAACCAAGATTTGGGCAGAGCTGACAGGACCAGACGATGGCTTTTACTTATCATTGCAAGTACGAATTGAATTTTCTCCAAAGTGTTACCAAGAATGCTTTTTCTTGCTTATTTTTGTAGCTTCGTGGTTTTGGTTTTCTTTCTTTTTCCTTTGTTATCGTTGTCGTGTTTTGTTTTGTTTTGTTTTGTTTTGTTTTTTTGAGCTAGCTCTCACTGTGTAGCTATGTAGCTATGCTGGCAAACTCTGTCAGTTTTAGACTAGCCTTGAATTCACAGTGCTCACTCTGCATCAGCCTCCTCAGTACATCATCATGCCTGGCTCACCTTAACCACTAAATTTTTTATTAATTTATATCAGTGTGCTTGCCATATCCGGCTGCACAGAGGGAAAAAAAATCAAAAAAACCTTAAAAAAATTTTCAACTTGTTTACTGTGATTCCATATGTAAAAAACAGAAGAAGCAAAACTGTCTTCAGTCAACACTTAACGCTTATTCTGTGGAGGGCTCTGTGGATGGGAAGGGGCTTAAAATTCATACCTCTGGCCAGAAGCTGTTCTCAGTTGATGGTTGCGGGAGGAAGAGGCAACTAATAGATTGTCCACACTCCAGTAGATAGGCCCACACTCGTATACATTAGGATATGGACGCTGGGTAAAAAAACAATAAGGCATAAAGTTGAGAAGGGGAATGTTTTGCATTGGCTAGGTGAGTGGCGGGTTGTTAGGGGAGAATAGAGGTGGTTATAATTAGAGTACATTATATACATATAGTCTTTATTTTATTTTATTTATTCATTATTTATACAGTATTCTGCCTGCATGTATGCCTGCATGCCAGAAGAGGGCGCCAAATCTCATAGATGGTTATGAGCCATCATGTGGTTCCTGGGAGTTGAACTCAGGACCTTTGGATGTATAGCCAATGCTCTTAACCTCTGAGCCATCTCTCCAGCCCCTATACATATATTCTTAATCAGAGCTGGCTCACTGCCAGTGGCCAACTGTGAAATCAAATACATGCAAATAATGTATTATGGACTATGCAGACTGTATTTATGTTTTAAGAAATTCTGTGAGAACAACTTGGAAAAATAGAGGCCATGAATTTGAGAGAAAAGTAATTAAATAAATACACATACACAAGAAGACATCTGTGGAGACAAGCATAGGAGTTCACATAGGAGGTTGAAGTAGAAATACCCTAAGTTCAGCGCTAACATGGGCTACATGGTGAGTTCCAGCCATGGTAGGAGGTCTCAAAAATAAAAAAGCAAAAAACTGCTATGACCCTTAATTTATGAGTCTTTACCCAGAGTTAACCAAGTGGCCTCTCAGGACATGTGGACTTAGATGATTAGATGGTGTATCTTTTGCATTAGTGAATTTGTTGTTGTGATGTTATAATAGAATATTTTTAATTATTTAGGCTCAAATTCTTACTTTTTTTTTCTGTTCTTTCAATAGATAAGAAACAATAAAAAAACTGCCATCTTAGTTAAAGAAGTAAACCCTAAGAAGAAACTATTTTTAATTTACCGACCAAACACTGGGAAACAACTCAAATTAGAAATTTATGCTGATCTGAAAAAGAAATACAAGAAGGTATTTTCTCACTTGTACATTGGACTGTGTCAGTGCGTACTTCATGATAGGGAACTAGGTCTTCCAAGTTTCTGGTTTCAAGGATGATAATTTTTGAACAATAGCAAATCTTATGTACGGCTATTACAGTTCTGGTGTTCCTGCCTGTTGAGACAAACAAAATGGGCATGTGACCCTTAATGCCCAGAACACAGTGCAGTGCTTTAGTAAGGGACAGTTCTTCCAACCAGCTTTTGATTTGTCATGAGTATCTTGCATGTTTTTATCTTATAAATTTCCAGAAAATAGTCTGTTTTTCTCAACATTACTTCTGTACTTTCTAGAATGTATTGCCTTAACTTTCTGGGCACTCTCATTTGGAAGTAACTATATTCAACGAGCTGTCTGCAAAGCTCATTCCAAGAGGAGCCTTAGTTACCTTGGTGGTTTTCCCATGCTGCTGTCATCAAGGGCTCCGCTTCCCCCTGAAGATGATGATGATGATGACGACGATGACAATGACGACAGTCTCTTCTCTTGTGTTAGTGTCTAGGTCAGGTGTCCAGTTGTCATAGTGTGTTGTACTTTGTCTTTGCAGGTAGTTTCTGATGATGCCCTGGTTCACTGGCTGGATCAGTATAACTCCTCTGCAGACACCTGCACTCACGCGTACTGGTTAGTGCTTCTGTGTTGCTGCACTTAAGTATAATCGAGGTTTATGTTTTGTATTTTGAGACAGGGTTTCTCTGTGTAGCCCTGGCTGTCCTGGACTCACTTTGTAGATAGGTCTGCCTTCCCATGTGGAGATGCGCCTGCCTCTGCCATCTGAGTGCTGGGATTAAAGGCGTGTACTACCACCATCTACTTGTGTAATCAAGATTTAAAGACACCTTTTTCTTTTCTATGTTTTGGGGGAAGGGATGCTGATTCTCACTATGTATCCTTGTGATCCTCTTGCCTCTGCCTTCCAAGTTCAAGAATGGTAGGCCTGAGCCTCAGTGCCTGGATAAACACATTTTCATTATTTCTGAAAATGCAATTGTGAGTAAATCAAGTTGACTATTGGTAAGCACAGTTCACTTCATCAGAATCATATTTAGAGACATGTCATGATAGTTAGTGCCTGTAATGCTATACTTGGGAAGTTGAAGATCATCCTCATCTTTCCTGTAATGCTATACTTGGGAAGTTGAAGATCATCCTCATCTACACAGGGAGTGGAGTCCAGCCTGGGCTACATTGAGACCCTAACAGCCTATTAAGGCTATCCCTCTGCTAGAACTTACATCTCACTGCACTGTTTTCGTTTTCCACATTCTCCTCTCATCCCCCCCCCCCCTTTTTTTTTTGTGAGGCACAATCTCTACCCCAGTCCAAGCTAACCTGGAAACTTACCTGTGTAGCTCAGGCCTACACACTGAGTACTGGCATTGTAGGTACTTGCACCTATATTCATATTGCTTTCTCTTTGGCCTTTTTTTTTTTTTTTTTTTAAAGAATTGTTCGTTATGTGTATAGTGTTCTGCCTGCATGTTCACTTTCATGCCAGAAGAGGGCCCCAGATCTTATTACAGATGGTTGTGAGCAACCATGTGGTTGCTGGGAATTGAACTCGGGACCTTGGGAAAAGCAGTCAGTGCTCTTAACCTCTGAGCTATCTCTCCGGCCCTCTCTCTGGCTTTTAAAAACAAAAACAAACACTCATTCCTTCGGCCTGGTGGTTCATGATTATAGCTCCATCACTGAGGAAAATTCAGACTTGAGGCCAGAGTGTGCAAGACCTTGCCTCAAAGCCACCAAATGAAAAGAAACAAAAAGGGGCCTTGAGAGCTGGCCATGATGGCCCACATCTTTAATTCCAGGAAGCAGAGGCAGGGAGGTTTCTTGAGTTCCAGGCCACCCTGGTCTACAGAGTGAGGACAACCAGGACTACACAGAGAAGTGGTGTGTGAGACTGGAGAGATGGTTCAGTGGTTAAGAATATCTTCTGTTACTCTAGGAAACCCAAGTTCCTAGCACCCATGTCAAGTGAGTCAGCTACTTATAACTTAGACTAGCTCTAGTGGGTCCCTTGCCTTCTACAGACATGTAGCCAGTGGTTCACTGACACAGTGCAATCATAACACCCATACACATGAAACTAAAAATACGTAAACTCTCAAGGTTTAAAGACATAAGTGCTGTGTGCATGTTTATGAGGACACTTGTATGATGTTGATGTGAGGCACACATGGGTTGCTCAGAGGATAGCTCTGCTAAGTTGGTTCTCTTCTTACCTAGCTTATGTAGATTCTGGAATCGAGCTCAGGTCACTGGGTAGCCAATGCTACCCAGTGTAATACCCACCTCCACTCACCTGTTTTGTGTTTCTTACATTAAATTTATGTTGCTGTGATGGTGACTCAAGATACATTTATCAATGAATTGGGAAATGGTTTGACTGTACTATGACCTCATTTTTTCTGAGTTTCTGAATCTGTGGCTTGCGTGCTGTGGTTATTGGGCCTTTCTTTCTAGTTAGACTTGAAGCAGACACTAGTGATTCAGTGATACAGCATCAGCTGGTGGGTGGTTTTCACAGCAAGCACTATCATGTGAAACAGGGTATTGAAGTATGAAAAGTTTGTAGATAGTAGCATCAGTAACCCCATGTGCAGGTAGGCTGTACCAGTGCACAGCTGAACTTGCAGCAGTGATATGACACCCTAGTTTTTGGAAGGATAGCCCAGGAAGCCTGAAGGGTTTTCTAGGAAAAAAATCAAGAAATATGGCTGGGCTTTGCATTTTACATGATTGTATGCATGTTTCTGTACATATTTTTTTCTCCTATGTTTTTTAGGCGTGGCAATTGCAAAAAAGCAAGCTTAGGATTGGTATGTGAGATAGGTCTCCGATGCCGAACGTACTATGTGTTATGTGGCTCAGTGCTGAGTGTCTGGACAAAAGTGGAGGGTGTTCTGGCCTCTGTCAGTGGCACAAATGTGAAAATGCAGATAGTGCGGCTAAGAACAGAAGATGGACAACGGATTGTAGGTGAGCTTCATTTTTTCCTTTGGTTGTGGGGAAAGAATCCGCTCCTACCCATTATTACCACTATTCATTCTGACATCTGAGATTTGTTGCATATTTCTTTCACATCTGTATTGAGCATAGATCAGACTTTTAACTTTACAAGCTTGCGAGCAGTTAAACCTGGTTTTTGGCTTCAAACTCCGGCTACCCGGCTGTCTCTTCCAGGTGCCGGAATTACAGGCAGGTGCCATAATAGCCAATTATACTCAGCCTTGCAGTGGACATGGTGATGGCAGTAGTTGCCCTACGATTGTCTCTGGTGCTGCTCTCAGCTCCTCTTACCTCTTACCCACTGCTGCTCGCTGCTCTGGGGATAACCTAACTCTTCTCTCTAGCTGAGGCTGTGCAGTCTCAGGCCACAGCACAAAGGAGAGCTTTGAGTCCTTCCGAATCTAGAACAGCAGGCTAACTCAGACCACCCTGTGGTCAACTCTGGATGTCCTACGATTGAGCTAGTTGTTAAACTATTCCTTCCTGACAACATTTCTGTGTAGTGGGGAGACTTGATAGGCCTGCTTGCCAGCTAGTAAACTTTATTTGAACCCAGGTAATTGTGGTTGTGAAAATTTCATATAAACGAGTTTCCAGCTTCTAGCTTTTAAAAAAAAGAAAAGGGCACTTAGTTGCTGCATTGAGTTCTGATCCGCCATAGGACAGAACTGAAATTACTTTAGCTGGGACTTGTGCCTCCAATTGCTCTCATATTCTTTGTGTCTATCTCTACCTTTCCTGCTGTCTAAGATGTCCATTTCACCCTCTGTCTTAGAGTCATTTTTCACCTTATTGAGCAGCAGAGGGGCTGATGTCTGAGAGGTTTATGAAGCTAAATGGTGTACGTGGGAAAGTGCTGTACTACACTGTTATTTTCATAAAACTGCTTTTGTTTCTCAGTTTCTCTCTTAACCCGGCTATCACAGAAATAATTGAGACTCATATTTTTTTTTAATAATAAACTTCACAACATAATAACTGAGCAGTTATTACTCTGTTCTTAATTCTCTATGCTAATCTGCTTTCCTGCCAGCTTATATCTCAGAGATACTTGGACTTTGTAGCTTTTGCTGCTCCAGCTTCTCTCCTGATGTTACCTGGACCTCTCGTGTGGCTGAATCCACTCCTTCCTCCTTTAACTCCTTTTTGCCTATTCTCTTGATTAGATGTAAACGGCTTTATTGGCATACCAGGGGACAATTGGGGAGCAGTGTTACACAACAGTGAGATAGGAGATTCTCAGAATAGGGATTGTAACCAGATATGTGGGGTACAGAAATCAGCATTTGAATTACACCATAACCTTATGCCTACACTGCACACTAGATTCCTTCAGGAGATGGGTTACATGGGGTGCGTGTGCTCATGTGCATGCCTGTGCACATGCTTGCTGAGGCGTCTGGGAACTTCCTAGGAACAGCTTGAGTCCATGCTGGCTGCCTCTCTGGTTTCTGGGGAGGTTGGTTTGCAGTCCTCTGTGAAGGTATGATGTACGGTGTTTTCTTTTGGATGACAGTACTTCATAGATTCTCCTGCTAATTACAGGTTTGATCATTCCGGCAAATTGCGTGTCTCCTCTTGTAAATCTCCTGTCAACTTCAGACCAGTCTCAGCAGCTCGCAGTCCAACAAAAACAGCTGTGGCAGCAGCATCACCCGCAGAGCATCGCCAACTTGAGCAACGCGTAAAGAGCAGCGGCTTCCACGCGGTGTTAAATGCTGTGAGAGCATACCACTTGCATAAAAATCAGGGACAGTTTCCAAAGAATTCTATTTTTTTTTCCAGTTGTGCTCTCTAGTTAATTTGGGGGGTTAAGGACAAACCTGGAATAGGCAGCAAGACTGACAGCGAACAGAGCAGAGGGGACACAAGTCTTTCCTCTTGCTTCCTTGTGGCTGGCAGTGTGCTTTTCCTTTGGGTGAGCGGAGCGGATGTGTGTGTGTATGTGTCTGTCTGTGAGTTTGTTAAATGCTACAAGACCACAGTTGGTTAAAAATGCTTGGAACTTCCCAAACTGGCTTTACTTTTCCTTTCTACAGTGCTCAGGGTTAACACAGTACATCTTTGTCATTACTGTGGAAGTTCCCCGGATGCATGTGTTTCAAGTCTCTAAATACTGAATATATATATATTGGTTTCTTTTCCAACCTAAACAATGTTTCCTACAGCATGAAGTGAAGGGTTGTGTGCCATGCATTCAGGTTCTTTTGTAGCTTTTGTTGATGGTGCATGTCTTTGAAAGCATGTGTAATCAAGACTACCACAGAAGTCACATGGAGAGCAGCATTGGAGATGTGCAGCTTTGGGTGTTGCATTTAGTGTTGATACCCGGGTGTTGCTTCTTACCCTCAGCCCTGCCCACTCCTCCCTGTCCCAAATTGCTTGTCAAAGTAGTAAGTACATAATTTTTTTTATGATAAAATTCTTTAAAAGTTCTTTTTAAGTGTTAATAGTATTCCTAATTTGTGCTGCAAAACTGGCTATGAGCCTTTTTCATAAGTTACATTTTCCACAACTTAAATATAGTTTTAGGAAGAAGTATGATTGCCTTCCATCTTGCATACACTCTTTTTTACTTCATTATCTGAATCTGCTTTGTCATCCAAACCGGAAACCGTACTTGAGTTGTAAACTAGACAGTGAGAAAACACTTGGCTTCTGCTGTATGTTGTTGTTGTTACTCAGTAACTTGAATATTGTTTAATGTGCTGTAAGACATTGTAGAGATTATTTCCAGCTGTTAAAAATGGTATTGTACAAATGTGAATAGACACTTATCTATAACATGGGTAAGTTTTGTTTCGCCTATAATAGATGTTTATAAAAAAAAAAAAAAAAAACAGTGAGGGGACAATTGGTCGTTTTGTTTTTTTTTTTTTTCCCAACCTCCCCTCCCCCTTTTTTTTTCCCTTCTTTTTTTTTTTTTTTTTTTTTGCTTGCACAGGTTGCACTATTGAAAAATTGAGATTGTATAAATCTGGTTAAAAGCTACAAGATACCAAAATCTTGTAGATGTTGAATAAAAAAAGTTATTATACTAACGAAGTGGACTCTTGTTTAGGCCCTCACTGGGGACTCCAGGCATAGGATAGCAGGGCTCTGTAGAACTTGGCGTGGCCTTAGCCTTCCAGGTAGCCTTAGAGTCTGACTGAGCACCCTCCTGAAGTCTGAGGCAATCTAAAGGATGGGGTAAATGATGGTACTTTTGAATGTTTTTCAAGTTGAATTGTTCTCTTTGTGATTTTCTAATCTTCTCAAAATATTGGGTGAGGTGTGTATAGGGACAGAGACCTGATGGAGTGCTTGAGACTCTTATTCTCTCCAGTTTGTTTGGTTAAGTTTTTCGTAATATTGTTGTGGATTTATTTATTCTTAGTGCCTCAAAGAACAAATGGAAAATGGTTTCTGTTCTTGGGCACATTTTGCCCAGTGGATGCAACTGTTATCCTCATTCCATATATCTCAGGCAGTGATCTCATGAGCATCAAGCGGTAGTACCCCTTCATGATCTAGAACCGGCTGACCACTGATAGTAGAGTTGTGTCCCCCTTTACAGAACCTCTGAACTTTTAGTTTTTGAACTGGGGGAGCATTCAGCTTCCTTTGGCGTGTTAAGGTTAAAGACTGAAGAAGGGCTGCTTGACTTAACTTGCTTTCTCTGTGAGACCAAATCACAGGGGATAAGAAAGATGCTGTGTCCTAGGCTGTGGGTGCCAGCCCCCTTGTTGTGTGTGTGGATGTCTGATTTGGCACGTCCTGGTTTATATGGTGCTTTCAAAGCAGCACCTGCAGGATTTCTCTAGCCTGTGCATACTGCACACTTCACCCAGGTCCATGAGGCTGTGACACTTGTTCCTGGAGCAAAATCTGTGTGTGTTCTCTTCATCATAGAACACCTCTTTGCATTTTTGTTGTTTAATAAGGAAAAGACCACAGATTTTAGGTAGCCAAAAGCCCTTTTAAAGCAGACTTCAAAAGGCAAGTAGTGTGGCAGAACAGAAGCTGGTTAACCTTTGCCCCCTGTGGTGTGTTTGACACCTGGGATTGGTGCCCAGCCCCTGTGGAGGGTAGAATGTGCTAACTGCACTCTGCCCCTACAGGAAAGCTCCAGTATTCAAGGATTTCTTGTTTCAAAATCCAAGTCTTCTCAGCCACTGTCAGGTAAAGTAGGTTTCTGCAGCGTCTAAATGCCATGTCTGCACCAGGGCCTTACTTTACTTTACCCACTATAAGTCAGCTGGTCTTTGAGATGCCTTTTTTCCCATGTGAGCAATACAGACAGCTCTGAGCAGCAGACCCAATTGTTGGTCCCATCAGTGTTTTCAGAGTTTACAGTCCATTGTGCTGAAAATCACTCATAGGTCCCATGCTGCTCAGGTGCTTGCTAGGGAGGTCACATTTCTGTGCTGTGCAAGTTCTGTGCTGCAGGCTCATCCTCTCTGTGGTCCAGCCAGAAAACTGTCCTTGGTGCTGTCAGAAAAGTGGTAAAATTACTTTTGTAAATGTGAGTTAGTCAAAAAGCTAGACGGGTTAAGCAGTTTTCTCCTTTTGCTACTAAATTGCGTATGTGCTTTCGGTTTCGGTGTCTTCTTTTTCTGTGTGTAGAGATTAGTAAGAACTTGTATCCAAAGCACTGTAGTAGCTGTAGGTGTGTACATACGTGTATTTATTCTTACTCTGCACTTAAGAAACCTTTTTGAGTTGCTACAAGAAACCTTGTAATTTGCTCTTGTCTATGGCGAAGAAAGTTCTAGATTACCAAACTCCAGAAAAATTAAACATTTTAGAGCCATGGTTTTGGCTGTAACCTCTGGGGCATTTATTTGCTGGTCTCTTCACTGTGTTATTAAAACAACTTCCAAGAAACCAGAGAAGGGGAATGAGGACACACCGGTTATAGTTTTGTCATGTGAGCCTTCTCATTCTGTCATCTACTTCCCATATTAGCATGAGGGCCACTCTGGCTTGCTTTTGAGAGCCAGTGGAGAGGTTCTCGTCCTGTGAGACACTACCCAGGAATGTGGACCTTTGTGGGCTCTGGCACTTCCTAGGTAGGAAGAATGTTCCAGAAAAGCTGCTGTTGGGCAGGGTCCACATACTGAATTTTTAGTTAGTTGAGGCATCCCCATGGGAAAAGGAACTTTTGTGATGGTGTGCTTGCTAAGAGTCCTTTCTGTGTGGGTGGACTCTGGTGAACACATACACACCACACAGGTGCTTTGCACTCTAGTGCTGAGATAACAAGCATTCCATGTCATGGCTGTAGCTGAACAGCCAGAAACCATTGGCAAGAAAATCCCTCACGAGGCTAGCCATCTAAATCAAATGAGTCCTGTAAGTGAAAGGAGCATGGAGATGCACCTAGGTGGCAGTTTGTTCTGAGTGCCCACCCTCTTCTATGCTGTACCTACATATGTACATGGGAGTGTGTAAAGAAGGATTAAGTTCGACATTTCCAGTGTAAATCTTGTAAATTGGGGCCCCAGTCACTTGTTCTCATCCTTGCCCTTCTATTTATTCTCTTCTGGACTCTCACATGGGGCGTCTTAGTACACTTTTTTTTTTCCACTGCCTACCTGAGTCAGTAGTTTTGTATGTAAGAGTTCACCTTTGCCTCATGGCTGGAGGAGTCTTGTTGCCCACATTTCCAGCACACCTTGCTGTGCTGTCTTGGGATTGGGATGCACCTGAGCGACATTCCTGATCCTGTCACCATGTGACTGGTTATGTTCAGCTTTGTCCTCTGGAAGCTGTAGTGAGCCTGCTGCTTTCATAGTTGAGAAAAGGAAAGAAAGTAAAGCAAATGCCTCCCTAGACTTCTCTTAAGCTCCTCTAACATCTTCGTCTTCAGTCAGCCAAGATGCAGCTCCTCAGGAGCCTGAACTCACTTAGCCTTCTTCAGTTGAGACCTGCTCCTGCTGTCTGCCTTGCATGTAGACAGTGCCTTATGGCCTGGCTGCATGCTCCCTGTGTATAAAAAGTTGGATTTCTTTGACCCCACAGGTGATGATCAGAGATTGACTTTACAACAAGCATCGGTAATCTGTTTTTTATACAATTGGTCAGATATTTCTAGCAGGCAGGAGATAAGCAAGGAACACAACAGGTGACCTTAGGGAACAGTTGTCCATTGGATGACAACAGTCCTACTTTGGAATTTGCAGTTAGCACAACCTTCAGCACACTAGGCAGGTTCAGTGCTGGTGTCTGACTCCTGGTTGGATAAGCTGCAGGCAGGGCTGCTGAGCTCTGGGGGATTGGTGTTGGGGCTGACAGCCCAGCAGGGCAGTGGAGATGGTGCTGACCCTCGCCTGGAGCACAGGACTGGGGTTTATGTACAGGCACACTCAAAAAATGTCCCTGTAATTCTCAGGAAAGATTTCAGTGAGCATTTAGCTTTGATAGACTTGATGACACTTTGAAAGTTGTCTACAGGGTCTGTCACAGATGGATTGCTCCAGCAGAAATTCCCTCCTCACTCCATCTCCCTTCCTCTGGTGCCTGAGATATAGTTGACCTGTGCAGCAGCCACCTGCAGGGATGTGGCAGGGCAGCAACAGGGCAGTTAACCATGAGATACACCCATTTAGAGTGCAGAGCTAGAGGAGGTAGAGGCTACTTTTATTCTTTGCACTTCAGGCTTCCTCAGGGCCGAGTCAGCATGCTGGTCTTGTGGGGAGATTTAGTCTGGCCTTTCTGATTGTGTCCTCTAACCCAGATCCCACTGGGGGCCTTATGAGCCCATGCAGGTAGATGCAGAGGACCTCGCTGCTGTTGCAGTGGCTGTGGCACTGAAGAGGCTAAAGAAGCTTGAGCCATTCCTGGCTCTGATTTGTGGGACTGAGAGAGCTTGTTTGCTTGGTTTTTGTTCTGTTTTGTTTGTTTGTTTGTTTTCTAACGTAGCACAAATACAGCCTCACCACTAACGAAGTCACCCTGTTCAGTTTTGCTGAATTTGCAAACTACTCTTAGTGCTCTTCACTAACCACTCCTATCATCAACTGTGATGGGTGGGAGAGGTGCACTGTGTCTCTGCAATAAAATTTGTGCCAGGTTCTACCTCCTTGTGCAAAGGGTATTTTCTACGTAGGCGCCGGTCTTCCTTCTTGATCTGACACGGTGCATCTGGAGACATCTGAAGGAGTCCAAAGACCTTTTGAAACAAAGTCACATGTGAACTCTAGGGTGGCTTCTGTTTTCTTCAGTTCCCTTTTGTATTGCTGCTCTGCACAGAATTGTCCTTTTGAACGAAGGGTACACACTGTTCCCATGATGCCACATTGCTGCCTTCAGCCTCTCCTGGGAACCTGCTCCCGAGTGTCCAGAACTGAGTGCTGCCATCATATTGATATGTAACTTTCAAGTTCAGTCTCATGCAATACAAGTGTGTCAGCTTCACTGAGCAGGATTCATATGCCCTCAAGTAGAAACGCTTGATCCTCACACAGAAAGTACTCTGTATTTAGGTTTTTGTTGTGGTTTGTTTTTTCATTTTTGTTTGGATTTTGTTTCTGTTTTTGTAAAATTCTTAAATAAAATTAAAGAACTAAATACAGTTTTCATTGTGTTGTGGTCTGGATTTGGAACACCTGGTGTGTCATTAACCTTGCTCACCTTAATATGGTCCCTTGGCAAGGTTGAAGTTTTTATGTTGGCACTTTGTTTAAAATGGGGTCTAGAGGGCCGGGTTGCCGTAGCCTAGTAAAAGAATACTTGCCTAGTCTGTTCATGAAAACACTATATGGTAGGGGGTGGTTCTCGCAGGTTGTCTTTTGACCTCAGAATATGTAGTAGACCAAAAATAAAAATAAAAAAAGCAAAGTGGATGTAAAAAGTTGATGTGCCGATGTGCCGGCATTACTTAATTCTGCTGATCTGGGCAGTGTCTTGACATTGGCT